GCCTCTTCTCCTCGCAGCCCTGCGAACACCATGTCCTCTGGCCTCTCTTGCAAAGCGAGTTTTCGACCTGACAGACCGTATCTGTTCCTCCCCTCGGAGCTTTTCGGTTCTTTCCTCCACCACCTCCCATGGCAGTTCTGGCATTTCCTCTTCGGTTTCTCCAGGAGAAGCAGCAGATTAGTACCTTGTCCCTGCTCCTTGCCAGGCTGTTTCATCCTGGCTGGTAAACTCCTCCTTGTCTCAATTTATCTTCTCTCTCCGTTTGATGCAGCACCTCGGAATCCAGCCCCAGGATCCGCCCCGTTCCTGCAGGTACATGTTGGCGCCGTCCCACCAGCCCCTTTTGGGCATGGGTTGTTTTGCAAGGAAGAGGCCTCTGCACCATCAAGCAAAGGAGAAATACTTGCTTTAAAGAGAGAGGGGTGGGGGGCGCCTGGGTGGCTCAGTTGGTTAAGCGACTGCCTTCGGCTCAGGTCATGATCCTGGAGTCCCGGGATCGAGTCCCGCATCGGGCTCCCTGCTCGGCAGGGAGTCTGCTTCTCCCTCTGACCCTCCCCCCCTCTCATGTGCTCTCTCTCTGTCTCTCATTCTCTCTGTCTCAAATAAATAAATAAAATCTTTAAAAAAAAAAAAAAAAGAGGGGTGGGCCACTTGGGCAGGTCTGGGGAGGGTTTCCCAGAATCTGGGCATTTGAAGTTGTTCAAGTGCCTCGACCCAGATAGCCCCATCCATCTCAATTAGGGCTCTGGCTTTGGGGTGCGACCTTTGGAGGCCAAGGCTTCAGCCTGCCCTGGAACTCCCTCACAAAACAAGTCTTGGGTCTGACCCTCGGCTTACGCCTGGCTGTAGGAGATGAGGCTCTTTAGATCCTGCCAAGGAGTCTCTCTGGCTTTCATGCTTTGCCTTTAATTGGTAATTAATCACATTCAGCTTTTCACTGTCTTTTTCTAGTGTGCCCAGCATAGCCATCCAAGTCCATTGCCTTTGTAATTTCTATTTTCCCTTACCTCTCGGACGCCTGTCATGGCAACTACCACAGCCACTCCCATCCGTAAGCTGTTCCCATTCATCAGCGAGGGAAGTTCCGCAGTTGCATTCCACCATCCCCTCCCGCTGCCAACAGGATCCTCCTTGGTAATGGCTCAGTGAGTGACCTGGCTCCCAAATTCCGTGTTTGTTTTTCAAGATCCTGTTTTCCTGGACCACTCCTGGCCCCAGCTGTCCTGGGCTGGGTTCTGGGAGGCGGACGGTGAGATGGAGATCCGCATACGGGAAGAGTAGAAGAGTATGGGGCGGTGTTCTCCGCATCGACACGGGGAGGGAGGGAAGCGGACGTGCAGTGAGTTCGCTGAGGGCTTTGGCCCATCCCAAGGCGAGTGCTGGAGTTGGATGGCCCTTCAAAGTTGTTCTGAAGTGGAGCTAGGGGGCTGGACTTTGCAGCTCCTTCCGGGACCCATCATGAGATGTGGTCGCCCCCAGGAGGGGGGAGCATGACCTTGGAGGAAAGGGCTCCCTGGCTGTAGGCAATCTCCAGGGCTCTGCAGACAGCTATCAGACGCCAATACTTCCAGCGCCTGGAGAATAGATGCTTCAGCCCGGGCCAGGAGCTGGAGCGGGGCAGGGGGCAGGGCTTGTGCACTCATGGCAGGCATCCGACACGCGGTGCTCCCAGCAGACTAGAACATGGGAGAAGGAGCATGCATAACTTATTTTTAAAACAAATTTTTTTTTTTTTTTTTGCAGAAAATGAGACCTAGGGAACTAGTAAAAGTCAGAGAAGTCTTTTCTTAGGGTTTTTACGGTCATCTTTATTTTTAGAGTTTTTGCCTGCTAGCTCTCAAATGTCCTTTGGTGGAGAAGTCCCGTTTTCTGTAGGTGCAGTAATCCTTAGCAGAGGTGCCCACCAGTGCCTGCCAGGCTGTAAGTTTGAAGTAATTTATATCTATTCAGATCACAGAACAATTTGGACTTCCGTAAATTCCTACCTTAAAACAGCCCTTCCATCCTCCCAATTAATTTGTATTTACTCCTCAAGGCTCAGCCCAAGTGCTTCCTCTCTAACTTGATTCTACCCTAGAGCACGAATCACTTCCCATGTTCTCATCGCTCTCTGCCATCTCTGTTTTCGGCATTTATCCCATCAGCGCTGTGGCCCTTTGCTAGACTGGAAGCTCATCAGCAAGGAAACTAGAACACTGAACATATGCTTGGCATATACGAAGATTCACAAATCCTTGCGAACCGAATAAAAATGTTTCTTCGCAGTATCTTTCAATTATTCATACATTTGCACTAAAGCCTGAAGTGCCACTGGGTGGGTCAAGTTCTAGACCATACATTTCACATTGGGGTAGAGTGAAGGGCTAAGGCATTTGATACCAGTCAAGACAAGAAGATGTTGGCAATACAACCTACACATTCAATTTCCTGTGTTTTTGGGATCCCATGAAGTCTACTCTATGATACTTTGTCCAGAGGCTTGTTCAATCTTCACAGATGTGTATTTTGAAGATACTCATCATGTAAGTCATCTAAAACCATCCCTGATGCTACTGTGAGTCCTAAATTTAATAGGAACTACTTTCTTTTTGAGGGATCAGTCCTAACTTCAATAGCTGTAATCAAGCGGCCCCATCTGCCGGCATGTATTTTGGTATTTCTCAGTGTCCCCAAGTTTTGGTGAGAGACTGTCACACACAGCAACGTACTGAAGAGCCTCGTGAATACAGGGAGAACCACAGAGACTCCCCTTTGGGTAAATGTCCAGACCTCTTAGTGGATCTAGGTAGAGATAAAAACACAGAACAAAAATCCAACAGTGTTTTCCAAAGAACACAAATAATTTACAATCTTGTTTATCCACGATAAGGACTTCTAAACATCTACTAAAAATGATCAGCTCACATGCACTGAATGCATACTTTGTGCCACTCCTAACAAGCATTTTATAGGCATCATCTCATGGATCTAACAAATGCAATACATATTTACTTGAAACCAACAGCAAATCGGGCAGGTGCTAGATTCTTGCCCTTCTCTGGGAGATCGCAGAATACGAAGGGCTCTTGGCTTGCTGTGTCCTCCTTCTGAAACAAATACAATTTGAAATCTGTAGCCAGATCTATCTTCTTAGAATAGAGTGGAATTTTTTAACGAGAAAGAGAGCATACAAATTAAGGCTGTATTTTCACTACTATTTTAATACTCACATAATTAGCCTGTGTTTACAGCATGCCTGATGTGGCCCATCCATGAGAAACAGGGTTAGGTACTTAGAGTACTCAGGATTCCTTTGCCCTGAGCTTGGCTGGAAGGTATGGGCAACCATTTGACTTTAGTTTCTTATCTGTAGGAAAGAAAAGAATCTATATCCGTTTGACGGAAATATCTGTCCCCAGAATGAATGGATCTAATCTTGCTGGTGAGAGTGGAGTGAATTGCTTACCTTCTTCCTAGAGATGCATCAGCCTCTCATTCAGCAGGGCACTAATTAGAATACTTTTATGAGTAATTTGCTTAAAGGGACCTGGGAAACTAGAAACAATGCAAATTCAGCAGGTACATGACCTCTTTTCTCATGCAAACGAACGAAACAAATACGAAGGAGGGTCTACGACTTACGAGAGCATCCTGGCAGGATCAACATGAATCGAAAAACAAGATTCTGAGAGGTGAGCACAAAACGATGTAACTGCTGAAAAACCAGTTCACGTCTTAAAAAAAAATGTACAGAAACAAGAAGTCTAAACACTCTTTTAGGCATTCACTAGTTATAGTGCTGCCTCTAGAAATGTAAGGTTTGATTAAAGAGGGACGATAACCTCCAAGCACACATTGTGAGCTTGGTTCATTTAAACAATTACAAGCACAACCTCTCTGCAGTCTTTTTTAGTTTGTAAACAGCAAAAAGAACTGAACATCTAATTTTTGAAATTCTTCTGGCTTTTCTTTTTGACCTTTGGTATTTGTATGTATTGACGATCTCTAAACCATTGTACAAAAACACCTTGAAGTGTCAAGCTTTAAAAATGAGTCTTCTTTTCTCTTTCTCCTGTGCAGCTTGGATTATCTTGGCCTTGTCAAAATACATTCTCTAGTTAGAGGTTGGAAATATTTCCCTCCTGGCTCCAAAGTATTGATTTTCTTCAACACTCAGCTCTGTCAGTCAGCTGAAGGGGTGAAAGGTGAAAGTTCACCCGGCACTGCTTGGCTTTACCTTCCTATTAATGTCATGCCCTTTCCACATTTGATCAGTTTATGTGATCACCAATCATATAGGACTGGTACTGCCCCTATTCTCTCTATAAGGACACACTGAAGTCACCAGGAGACATTAAAGCAATTCCCGGGACGGACACCAGGCATCTGAACAGGGCCAAAGATGTGGCAGTCAGTTCCTTTAATATTTATCTGTTTTCTGAAAGAAAACTACACTGTTACATGATGACTGGTTCAATTTAAGCTGTTCTATATTCTTATGTGAAAATTAAGGATGCACATTCACAACTTACACGTATAACCCTCTATGAGCAACGATGACCTATTTTGTTAGTCTTGCTTTTCCCGAAAACCAATTACACCCATTACCTCAGGGATTCAAATTCAACTCCAAACTGAGTCTTAAATGAAATGAGTTTAATGATCTCCGCCCAGCACCCCAAACTCCTGGGCCAACCCATGTCATGAAATCTGACAAGACAGAATTCGGTACAACGGAAGTCTATTTAGGAGCAACTTGGGGTGGAGATAAAGCACCATGCATGCAATTCCCTTGCCCAAACCACAGAGGGCGCTGTTGAGTTTCTGGTAGGAGCTGTTTCTCTCGCACTTTGGAAACGTCTTCCTGCCCTACTGTCCTTTGTGACAAGTTTGCCTTTCCTGAAGCCAGCTCTCCAGGGAAATGAATAATTATACAGAAACAGAAGGCTTAATTTGGTACCAAAGAAGGCGGGAACAGGGCGGGCAGGGGGGAGAAAGCATATGGATTTCAACTGAGAATGTTTAAGAAGAGTGAACAATGTTTTTAATGAGGAAAACAATCTTCAGTACAATTCAGTTTTATTTAACACACATATGTACACAGGGACATCCAGCACATATAGAATCTATTCAGTGGAAATGTCTTGAGAGGCAGACATTTTAATTCACTCGCTGTGCACAGTGAGTTCAATCATTACATTTTCATACAGTTGTCACGTCATGTCATCTTTTGCTTGTAAATTACCAAGGAAGCCATATATGTCTCTACATTTACAAGGATAGGTCCAAATACAGTACCAACAAAATCAATAAAACACTAAAAGCATACACTGGGATGACAATACAAAGTTTGCCTCAGTGCTGAGAAATCTAAGCTGTGATGAAGTCTGGGACTGTAGTTACCAAAACAGCCAAGGGGAGATCTGTGTTAACAAGAATGCAAATACTCTTTAGCAGTTAGAGACGTCTAACCATCAGATATCATCCACCCAACTTTTAGAATAGTAATATTCTACTGGCCAATAATCAGATAGAATGTGGGACAGGCTGGCCTCTGCCCACTGCCCAGATGTTTTGCCCCCTGGGCCCCCATGGCTTTGTTTCAGACCCCCGGGGTGTGTTCCACTGTGTGTCTGTGGTGGCCTGCCTATTGTCTCACATCTTTGTTTTAAACAACTCTCTAAGGTATACTTTTGCTTCATCATTCCAAAACAACTTTGTAGTCTAGAAAAAATTAACCCCTATTTAAGTTCATAAAGTAAACATGTGCTGGGTATCGAGAAGACTTGGGAGCCCGCTGAAAAAACCAAGCACATCTTTTGTTTACCTCAGGTTTTTCTACCTATAATCGAACACAACTGTTCGGCATGTGCACCAAACAAATAAATCTACACTGGATAGTTCTTTGTTTCTTCCTTGGAAACTACATATATAATCTTTATAAATACAATGTACATGCATGTGGCATAAATTCACTTTTAAAAGAACACCCAAAGTCTAAAACCAAGAAACAGCACAGGTTTGTCATCAATGCAAATAACATACTTCATATCAATAGGAAAGAGACGTTCTAGTGGGTCTTAATTTCTTAACATGTTCTTTAAAAATCTGTTTCAGTAAAATGACAGATGGATTTCTTCCTGGACTGTGATCCTATTTTTTTGTATATTACATAAACTCTGACAATCTACGCTTTTCCAATTAAATGCTCCCATTATCATTTTGGTTCCTCTGGAAATTTCCTGTCTTCTCTGAATTTAATAAATCATTTTCTGTTTTAGCATTTAATAAACCATTGTGTCTAGCCAACCAATCAACAACTAACCAAACGACCAAATGCGCAACTATGTACAGATCAAGATTTGTTAGGAGCAATTCATACAAAATATTACTTTATGGATTTTTTCTTCCCCATTGCTATGAGCAAGAACCAGCATAATTTGACATAAAGAGAAGAAAGCGACCTAGTTCAAGCTTACTTCGAAGTGTGATGGACACCCTCATTGCAATGTTTGCTCAAATAGCTTGAGAGCCCTCGCATTTTATATATTCTCCTGAATGCTTACGCCATAGTTACTAATATTCTAGGACACTTGTGTAAAAGAAATGCTGCCTTTGTTCTCCTTTAATTGATCTGTTCGGAGGCTGAACTGTAACTAACTATTCCATGATAACTGACATGGGTCGTACATGTGGGAACTGTAGGTCCGTAAGGTTTCTGGAAGGAAGGGGTAAGGTCTTTCTTAAAAGGACCTGTAGCAACAGACACAAGAGTCTTCTTATTCAGTATATGCTACGCTTCCAAACTCAGTTCTTTATTATAAAAGCCCATTTAAGAGATTACTTAGAGTGACTGGATAATTTTATTAACTAGATCATAAACAGTGATGATTTTTTATTTTAAACTACTAAATAGACTACTAAGCAGGATATGAGCATTTTAGAAAGCTAGGTGTCTGGGAAACTCTATTTTCCATGAGGAGAAACGATTTTTTGGTGTATTTTCTCATTAATCTCCAATCTGTTAGGTATTAATAAAGAAGGAGTGGCTAAACCCTAGGAAATTGGAGTGAGCAGTTTCCTAGCAGTTATGGGGGGAAAAAACCAACCATGTAAACACGGAATCGTTTTGGTAAACAAGAATATATTTTAGGCGATCCAAAGGAAAAGAACTTCGCTAATTAGGACTGCCACATTACCTCAAAACCCAACGTCAAAACCACCAGGTTCAAGCGGCAGCTCAGAGGTGGGGTTGCTGACCTGGGCTGGGAAGGCAATCACAGTGTTTACTGAACTGGAGGCTTCTGGTGCACCAAGCGACAGGAGGGCTCCTGGGGCCCGCAGACATCCCCCACCCCCAGCCCCGGCGGGGAAAAACGACCTAGTGCCGACAGAAGGGCCACATCCTGCAGAGCGGTGTGTGCATGCCTCTGAATCACAGGTGACACAAGTGGGCATCTGCCCCCGAGAGCCATGCAGGAGTGACCCGGCCTCGGCTGCGCCCCCGGGGGGCACTGGTGCGGGCAGGCACTGAGGGATGATCCGTGTGAGGAAGGACAGAGGACTCTCAGCTGGGAGAACAGACGGACGGAACTCGGACGTGGCCAGGGCAGCAGGCACTAGCGTTAGACCATGAAGCGGTGCTCCTTCCCGTCGTGGGCCATGAGGATGACGTTGCGGTTGGAAGTCCAGATGAGCCGGGCCAGTCGGAGGGCGTTGTGGGAGCCGGGCGAGGCGGGCTGCACGGGGGGCACCTGGTAGGTCTTAATGCAGCGCAGCTGAGGTGCCGAGTTCAGCATGCCGATGCTCCCCAGCAGCGAGGTGTTCATCTGGGGGGACACAGGGACATGAGAGCACACGTGTCACTTAAGGAACCCTCTCCTGGTCACTCTCTCTGCCACAGCGCTGACTGGCGTTCAGCTGAGCGTCTGTCCTCAGCCCCGACAGCGCGCCTCTCAGTGTGTCTGAAACCGCTCTGGTGCTGTTACAGTAAGTGCATAAATCCAGGGAAAGCTGACTTCGTGGGTAGAACTGACAGCAGGAGCGGCCATCAGTCTTTAAGAAGGGGGCTAAATTATGGATGTTAACAAAACAGCTCAGCCAGACAATCTTTGGCAATTGTGGGTACTTCACACAGCAGACCTTTCTGTTCCTTCCCGTCAGGACTCCCTGCACCCCCTGAGGGACGAGTCAACCAACACACTTTTGGGGACTTCCAGGTCATTCAAGGAAACAAAGCAAACCGGGATCCGTCCCCGGATCCAAGTGCAAGCCGTGACCCTGTCCCCCATGCGCATGTACCCACACCTTCCCTCCTCACCCCCTTTGTACAGAACTCAGTCTCTGGAAAGCTCCCGTTCATTCTGAGGGGAAACCCGGAGTCAACTGCATCTCAACACCGTATCTGTGGCTCGCTTTTTGCCGCCACGCTGAAGGGAGGACACTTTAACACTTTAACGGCAATACGTTTTTATCAGTTGATTTCTGCTTTTTGGTGGCTTTTCAGGATTTGATTTGAATTTTAAGTTCTCTTAATCCATTCACAGTAGTGAAAAAGAACACGGAAATTATGGCTCATGAACAACTATGCGTTCGGTCCAAGGGCTAAATACTGAAAGGCAGTTACCCCAGTGAACTGTTACCTGGGCAACGGGGTCTGAAGAAGTCTGTGGATTCTAAATATTACTTAATAGTTTCTCAGTATACATTTTTTTGTGCTATTGCAAATCACATGGAAAGCATACTGAAAATCAGAAAAGAGGTCTCAGAAATAGTATTTTTCTTTGCATTAATTTTCATTTCCAGTTCTTCTCTTCAGTATAACCGCCGTCTAAAGGCATACAATTCTAGGGTCTTGTATAAAGCCTGCAGATTATGGTTCAATATATACAAATGGTTGACACATGAAACCTTGGCAAATCCTGGGACACGTACGCTGGGTTATTGCTGATACCATGCTCTGCATTTGGATCAGTGCAAAATATAAGCCATTCTTTTCTCTGGCCCTTCTCGGCAGCACGATGGTGTCAGAGGGCGTAAATCATGGCATCTCTAGCAGGATGCGTGCAGGCTCCACTGACATTTTCACAATTTAAATCATCTTGAGTAATAACCCTTTTAAGATGACTAATGTTACTGATTTTCCTGCATTAATAATAGTGCCGAACACAACACAGAGGTGAAAAAAAATCACTAGTGTACGAGGTCACATTTTAAAACCAAATGTATGGTTATCATTAACTCTTTCTGTTAAAGTTAACATTTAAAACTAGACAGTACTTTACTGTCTGTCATCCTCCAAAAACTTCTTTCCGTCCTTCTTTCCCCCCACCTTTTCCAAAAACTCCATAAAAGACAAAAATCAATGTCTTGTTGCTTTCTGAAGGTTCCCAAATAGTTTAAATATAAATAATGGTGGTGGGCTTGATTTGATAGTCCTCACTTGTACAAAAAAGTAACAGTACATAATAATTTAGTCCTCTAACAGAACAGATCCAAATGATCCAGAAAATTGGTGGTTAACATTAACTGGCATCAACAGGCATACTGTGCTTTAATAAAAAAAAAAAAATCTCATTTCTCAGTTGATAAACAACTACAAACTGTTTTTCATTCTTTATGGATTTTCTATGAAAATATGTATGAAGCCTGAGTTCTGCTGGTGACTCCAAATGCTAAGGGTATCTAACATGCTCGGCCACTTCCTTATTTTTAATTCTTTCCTGCAAAATTTAGCCGCATACCACAAACGTGTTGAGGGCCAAAGGGCGACAGGGAGAGGGTACCTTACTGGAATGCTACAGCTGGAAAAACTTCAACAAGAAGTCCATCAAGTCCATCACCCTTATGAGCTGAGCCAGCCCATGAGTGACTCATATATCACTTGATAAACTGATTGATAAATGCCTTTGGAAGGGTCACACAGGCTTCCTGCCTCAGTACGGGGCTACGTGAAGTTCTTTGTGGGATGGCACTGTTACACATGCGTACGGCTGGGATGAGGAAGACCCTCAGGTTAACGAGAATGTGTTGATCCTCAGACCATGCTCTCCCTGTGACCTCTTCAGAGTGGAGATAATCTGAAGTAGTAAGGGTGAGTATTCCTTTTTCCAAAAAGCTCAGCCAAACAACGCTCACTGCAACAACGAACCATGCTGTTATTCGATATTAATGTTTTCTTGACCAGTGACCATCTTACAAACTACACGAAAGGGCAATCTGAGCCTCGAATGAATAAAAACTACCCGGAGTTAGAGTATTTGGTAACCTTCAAGTTTTTCTTGATTACAAAGATACTAAATACTCATTGTGGAACATTTGAATAATAAAGAGAAGTATAAAAGAGAAAGCAAAAGTCCCCGAAATCTTACTTCCCAAAGACAATCACTAACATTTTGGCAAACTTCTTTCCAGACCTACAATTATGTGTACATATAAGGAGAAGCGGGTTTCAGGAATTTTATGTAAAACAGGCTCATATTAGAAGGCAGTTAGTTTCACAATCTGCCTCTTTCATTCAAAAAAATGTTGAGAACCATCTTTTCATGTTAAAGGCCACAGATTTACAGTATCCTTTTTAAAGGCTGAAGAGGATTCTATTTTACGGTGGAATGCATCACCATAAGCGAAACCAATATCCATCTAATTTACTTTGGGCATTTCTGAGAGAGGATACTCACTAGTTGGAGGGTAGTGGTGAAATTTAGGTGAGGGAATCACAGTTGTACTTGATTTCGTTACTCAACTCCCCTCATTCAAGGTTACAAATGGAGACCTTGATGTGAAATATTCAACTTATAGGAATATGTTGTCAGAGGATCAAAGGGTTTGGAAGATTGCCTGATGACATCATTCCATAGCTGAGTCTGTAAATAACTAGAGGGCAACTTTGGTTTTTCCCTTCCCTTTAAAAATAATGCTTCACAAAACCAGTTCTGTGAAGATTATTTTCTGAACACACAGAAACACAGACAGATGTAATTCATCAAAACAGAAAGTGTTTTAATGCAATTCTCAGTGTAAGTAATGCTGCACACAAACCTTTTACTAAGTCTCACTTGAGTAATTATCCAACCAATATTTCTCATTAACACTCATTTCTCAGCAAAGATTTTAATAGCTCATAGCTTTTGTAAGGTCCTGTATTAATAAGACTTCATTAAGTTTTCAAAATATATTACAGTACATTTACTGGAATAATGCAAAAGTATTATCATACATCATTAGAACTAAACAATATGTATCTAAATAAATCAGCAAAGCCCCTTTTGGGAGAGCAGCAGGAGATCCAACAATGCTTTCTTGACTCTCTTTAATTCAAATCAACCCCCCTTCTACCTCTGGAAGAGGTTTTACTGTATTTTCTGGATAAAGATGAAATGTTTCTGTGCCTTTGGCTTAAATTTCAAGACCCAACGGGGTATAATTTAAGAAATGGGCTGCATTTTACACCCTGACATTGGGTTTGGAGGCGAAGACTTGGGTGTTGCCTGAGCTGCTCCCGGGCTCGGTGCACTGCACACCCACGTGCAGCCAGCCCGAGGCGGCCCCGGGAGTGGAGGAGCGCGTGACAAGGAAGAGTGCTATGGTTCCACCGAGCGCATGGCCACACGTAGAGACGCGCAGGTTCAAGCGTGCTTGGCAAAGCCCAGAGGCAGCAGCACGAGGCTGAAGAGGGGAACTGGAAGAGGAGAAGAAGTATCTCGAAAAGCTACCATCTAGCTAATGAATGATCTTGAGCTCTAAGGTGAGAAAGGATGCTAATCCTAATCCCCTCAATGCGCTAGGCAGGAACTTTGATAAAAATAGAAAAAAAATTCAAGGAAGGGATGATCATATCCAAACAGAACCCTGAACACCTAGATAATGGGAAAAAGGTTTACCATATAGAAAATCAGGAAAATATTGGAAACAGTTTCAAATCTGGCTAAGTTAGGAGGTATTCCTTTATAAAACAAATTTTTTTTCTTGTGAGAAAGTCAAGTTGGACAAAACCAAAAAGATTTGTTTTTGTTTATTCCACAAAAGAAAGCATGGACCAACCCAAGCTCCTCGAAAGCGGGGACTTACGGCTTGTTGACTCCGTATCCCTAAAGGAGAGGCCAGCACCCGGCACTTCAACGCCATTGAATAAATGTGGAATGAATGTGGAGCTTTATATAAACACTCCTCTGGGATTCCAAGAGAGTGGGAAATAGCAGAAAATTTGCATCAAAGTACAGTTGCTGTAGAGAGACCACTGTGTAGGGGAAACCCTTTAAAGAAGTACTGTTGCGAGGGTCCACTTCACGGATGCCTAGTGGGCTGGTGGCGGGGACCGCAACAATGCAAACCACAGGCCCTGCAGTGGCCCACAGGGAGAAATGGGGACCGGGGAGCTCTCCAAGGAAAAGAGTTTAATATGAGCCAATTAAGATGCTGGAGATATATTCTGGGAGAAAAGATAATGAGAAAATAAACTGGAAAACTAAATTAGATGAAGAGCAGGAAAAGTCTGTGACAGATTTGGAAGTTGTCATGCTTTAATAGCATGTTGTTAATTAAGCAATTTATTGTATCTGTTTTACATTTTATTAGGTATTGATTTTTTTAAAACTATCATCAAGTTGTGCTGAAGTCTTATTTAAACTTTCATTTTTTTTTTTAAGCTTTCAAGGCAATAAACTGAATCTCATAAAACATACTTGCATCCTAGGAAAGTAAAGGTAACAACCAAATTTTAAATTGGCTTTTCATGAAGGAGGGAGTTGATAATGTTTAATTTTGTTATAACTATCAGGAGGAAGATAATTAAAAAGATGGGATGGAGATTAATCACTGAGGACAAAACAAATTCTACTGTAAAAATTAGGTGCTCAAAGTTAATATGCATTTTAATCAGAAGTAAACATAGGCATTCTCATGAACTGCCACTCAGTGATACTCAGATTTTTGAAAATGTCTGGGTAGTTTGGGAATGAAAAGCCCTATGTGGGAAAGTCAGAATGCAAAAAGAAATGAGATAACATAAGCGGGATATGGAGGTAATAGCCGGCTGCCCGTCCCCTGTACCCTCTGCCCCGCCGGAGCTGTCCGCATCCTTGTGCAGGGCCTGCCGGGCCCCGTGCCTTTCTGGCCAGGCCCTCAGGCACGCCGTGCCCTTGCTTACCACGGAAAGGCTCTCCCTTTCCCTCAATCTGCCCTACCCTTACCCTCTGGCCCTTCTTCAGCCTTGTCGTGTCTCAGTTCAGATGTCACTTCCTCTGTGAGTTGGTCCCACAACCTTATTCTCAGGCTCCCCTCTGTATTATAATTGCTTCTTTACATGTGTCTCCCTCAGACCTCAAACTCTGTGAGAGCAGACCCCACTCTCTCCAGATGGCTAACTGTATTCTCAGCGCACCCCGCATGCTAGCATCAGTCAGCAATAAATACTTGATGTTTGTTGAAAAAGGAGGGGAAGGCAGGAGGAAGGGCTGGTGGGCAGGCCTAACAGCAAAAGCGAATCATGCAGTAAACACCAAGACCCATGGCATCTACACTTACCTGCCAGAAAGAAATGTGGCTGTCCGTATTTGAGTAGGTGGCAAGATATCGTCCGTCAGGGGCAAAGGCCACTGCAGTGACTGGTCCCTTGTGTCCATGGATTGTCTAAAATAAAATGCAGCCATTAATGGTCTGCAGTCCACAGAACTATTGCACATACACATGCAAACGCATTCAATGTTGAACAAGTTATGTCACGGAGATTAGATACTGTTATGTTCTTGATTTATAAAATCAGATTAGAAAAATAGGGAAAGCAACCAAAGTTCTCTCGCTGATATATCCAAGGGCTTTATTTAATCTTGTTCTGAAGGATCTACCTGTATCTGAGTTGGGAGAACAGCATGAATCCAAAGGAAAAGCATATATTAACGGGTGAACCAATGTGTTAATTCATTTATGTCCATTAGAGGGAAAAATTTTATAATTAATTAGGAAGGTAAGCAAGTGATCATCAAATCTATGTAGGAACCTCACTCATCTGAAATGAAAAATAATCAAAGCTGTATCATAACATCCCTGTTCTGGAAGGAGTTAAAAACCGTAATTTCAACCCTTAGTAATTATACATTTTTCATGTTTTATGCTTCATTTCCCACCAATAACACTGTGTTTAAAGGCATATGGCTGCAATTAGTAAATATACACGTACCTGGTGGAGGTTTGAGCACATATATAAATCAAGTACTATTAAAAACAAGTTAACAGGGATAATTTTGAGCCTCTGCCAAATAGCTATCATTGATTTAACCATGAATTGAAAAAAGGGAGTTGTATTTTAGACGAGATCTATGATAAAAGGTCTTTACTAATAAAAAATTACACTCATTTCATGATACTAAGTTATCAAAAATACTGGCATACTAAAGCAAATTAGCATATTATTATATTAAAGTCCTTTCAGTCAACTACTAAAGCGCATACCTCTACCACATTAACCAATATTCACTCTGCTTACAAGCTGTGGGTTGGTCTTCTCCCTTTGTCTGAAAGGAATGGAGAAATACGTTCTCTTAAACTAAGACAATTCCAGGAAGGTTTATTTCCATCTGCTATTTTTTGATGAACAATTGTGCACCCTGAGTCCTGGTGGGAACATCAGGCTCATTAGGTGACTCAGCCACATACATATTGTAAATTTCAGTAAGAATAGTCTCCTAATTCAGAGCTGAGTGATTAAAACGGGGTAGCGAGGGAGGAGAGAGGGGTGGGGATACAGCTTGTTCCTCAGTTGCTCTTTGGATTTTGTTTTTTCCTGTCATTAGACTTTCAGGGTGCTGTCGGATCCAAAATAATGCCTGTTTTTCCACACTTGGAGAAAACATGTTCTACTGGTAAAACACTGGGCTTCGGGCTGGCAGAGAACACTGCTCTGAGTCAGGCACCCTGGCTTGCATTTGGGCTCTACTTCTTGCTGAAGGACCCAGGGCAAAGGATGTAAGTTACTTAACCTCAAGTACCCATGGCTAGAAAGCAGGAGTGATGATGATGATGATGATATCTGCCTCAAAGAGCTCTGTGAAGATTAAATGAGTTACTAGATATGTAGCACTCTGCACAGTGATGGCACATAATAAGAATCCAATAAGCAATATTAATGTTTGTATTACTTCCCCTCACGTAAAGATGACCAGACATATAGATTTGAAAGTTGTTAGGAGAGTAGATCTTAAATGTTCTCAGCAACAAAAAAAGAAATGTAATTATGTGACAAGATGGAAGTGTTAGCTAATGCCGTGGTGGTAATCATTTTTCAATATATAAGTTTATCAAACCATCACACGTACACCTCAAACATATATGTTGTGTGTCAATTGTATCTCAATAAAACTGGGAAAAATGATTAGACAAATGTGAACACTCATAAAACCTGATTACCTGAGTATACAATTTAATGAAAAGGAAATGCCCTAATCATATATCCCAGAATCAGTGTCAGCGAGCGTACGAGATCGTCTAAAAACAGATTTCATTTCATTAAACAGATACGGTAACTATCCATGGTGCTAGGCCACTAACGTGGTGCTAAATTAAGCAACGGGGTGAGCATGCTGAATAATTATTCTGCCATCTACACTAAAATGAAAATTATTGTGGATGAGGGTAAAGAACTTAACCAATTAAAAGGGAAAAACTGACAATTCCCACTTACTAGGTCAATTTAATGAACTCACTGGAAAACAGCTTTAATTGCTTTTTAAAATCAAGATTCAGTTCTGCTAAAAATCTGAAAGCTTACGGGGCCAATTTAAAGCTATGTTATGGTTAAGATAGTTGATTAGTAAGGCCTTGCTTTAAAACAGAGGTTGCGAACTGAAGACTCTTAAGCTGAAACCAGACTGTAGATGTGTTTGGTTCGGCCTGAAAGATGTTTCAAAAAATGTTTTCTGGGTCCACATTCTAATTCATCAGATATCATGTAAAATCAAGATTTCTAGCCTCTCCTGAAAGACCGGAAGCTCTGGCAATCCTGGGTCTTTGTTTGCATGTGGCTACAACAGCCAGGGATGAGGTGAGGCAGCCCCTTCGGTCTGGACACTTGCCCTCCACTTCCCCTGTTCCACCCCCCACAGACAAGAGGGCCTGCACAGCTAAGACCCACTGCCTGGCTCCCTTTATTTCCTGCCTGGTCTCTCCTGGCATTTAATGCAACCCTTCCATTAAGAATACCTGATTCAAAATATTTTCTTCTGCAGGAAATAAAAAGTGTTGGCGAGGATGTGGAGAAAAAGGAACCCTCGCTACAGCGTTGGGGGGAATGCAAACTGGTACAGCCACTGTGGAAAACAGAATGGAGGCTCCTCAAAAAATTAAGACTAGTGGGGCGCCTGGGTGGCTCAGTCGTTAAGCGTCTGCCTTCGGCTCAGGTCATGATCCCAGGGTCCTGGGATCAAGCCCCACGTTGGGCTCCCTGCTCTGCGGGAAGCCTGCTTCTCCCTCTCCCACTCCCCCTGCTTGTGTTCCTGCTCTCACTATGTCTCTCTCTGTCAAATAAATAAATAAAATCTTTAAAAAAAAATTAAGACTAGAAATATCATATCATCCAATAATTCCACCACTGGGCACTTACCCAAAGAAAATGAAAATACTAATTCAAAAAGCTATATGCACCCCTATGTTTACTGTAGCATTATTTACAATAGCCAAGATATAGAAGCAACCTAAGTCCCTCAGTAAATGAATGGATGAGGAAGATGTGGTGCATACATGTGCACGCACACACTAATATTACGCAGCCATGAAAAAAGATGAGAACGTGCCATTTGTGACAACATGGACAGACCTAGAGGGCATTGTGCTAAGTGAATTAAGCATCTTAAATGCTGAACACTAAAGAATATTTCCCAGAACAACAGGTTTCAAAATAAAAGGAGGCGGGGTCTACATTTATATGCGAGTGAGTATCATGTCTTGTTATATTTTTCATCAAAGTAATTGCTGTCTTGAAAAGACAGAAATGGAATATAAAGAAATTAATCTAATTCAAGAAGTGCTATGAACAATAAAAGAAATCAAGCAGTTACCCCTAGCAGGAGACAGAGTGTGGAACTATTAAACACCCCCTCCGGTTTTTCTTACCAAAGAAAAGGAACTGGGAGGCAGGATTAGTAATGAGCAATGCTGGAACTTGCCAAGCAATTTTAACAGGCACTTTCCATGCACTCTGCAAAGAAACATAACTAACCCTCCTGTATAGAGAAGGAGAGGAGAGGCACAGATTTCAAAAATGATATGGTCAGTGCCAACAGAAGCTATGACCGTCTAGGATATTTTCTTTAAAACTGTTCTTTACATGGTCTGTCTCTTCCTGGAGTTCTTGATATTCAGCTTCCAAAGGACAAGTTTGAGAACTGAAACCAAAACGTAGGACTCTTACTGCACCCACTTTAGAGGCTGAACAAGATCAAAGAGAACATTTTATATTTATTTGCATGTCTCACCACTTTTTTAAAGGGGAGGAAAAAACCCCCAACCAAACAAAATACTTCCCTACTTTTGACATAAAGTGTGAAGAAAAGGTTTCCTAAAGTAGGTAAGCTTTTTCTATCATGAGCACCATCACAAGGGGAAGGTTTATAAAGTACAGACCATGTATTTTTTATGACATGTACCAAAATGACCTGGAAAATAAAAGAACTTGGACTGCACCATCAAAGCCTCACCCGAGGTCTATAGGGGCGAGAGAGAAGAAGGCCATGCTGGTTGTAGGCCTTCTCAGGGAGCAGCATGGCTAGTTTAGGATTAAGATACGCAGTTGCGATTTGGGGGGTGCTTGGAAGGTCTGCTGAGCTGGAAGTGTGTCCCCAATTGGCTGCACATGGTCTCTGAAATTTCTAAGAATACAGTGAAGCAACTGGCCAAGGTATTTTCCCTAGAATGTGTTCTGACAGAGAGCAAATAGGATAAACATGCTTTCATGAGGGATCAGCATGGCAGACGTCCTCAGTTTAAGGAGAACCTGAATGAAGTATGCATACAGAGACAAGAAACAGATTGGAGGTGGGCCAGATATTCAGAGAAGTGAGTGCCTAGGAAGTAGGATGAGCCCTGAGAAGAAAAGGAGAGTAAAACCAAAGACCTACAAATACCGACATTTTCCTAGTGCTGGTTCCTCTTAAGGATCACAAGCAAAGCCAAGGGAAGTTCAGGACACACCTCTGCACCTGAAGCACCAACCATACATTTGACATCTCCTACAGACTGTGCCAAAGTCAGAAAAGGGCAGATAAGGACAGTGAGCCAGGGTCTGATGGGCATGCTTTTCTGACATCCCAATACACAAGGCCCCTGATTTCATGGCTGACTGGTAGGGAGGTAACTGCTCAAGGCAGAGAGAAGACAAAGACATTGCTCTGACTGACAGCTCTATTTGTTAGTCAAGGCAAAGACTCATCAAAAAAGAGCCATTTCAAACGAGTTGAAAAGTTAAGAATTAATTACATTCTGGGAAAAAAAACTCCCCCTTTCTTTTCTTCGAAGCAACCAATCTGTGAAAATTTTATTATATATTCAAGGTTCCACTGCTCAAGGAAATGGATAATTTAGGCAGATGATGCCATTAAAAAAAAGATTTCATTTATGGCCGATGAGAAGACCCAAGTAAA